TGCTGAATTTTCTGCTGCGCCGGAGTGTCTCGGTAACCGCAGCCGGACAGCTCAGCAGCCGGTGAGAGAGGTTTACGTCTTTTTAATGACTTGGAATCACTGAGGCGCCGCACCCACCGCACCGCAACGGTAAGACCGGAGTCAGTGTGAGCCAGGGGTGAGGTTCTAAGTTTGAGCCCCACTCCCACAGACTGCCACTCTGGGTCTCTGAGCAAGACCCTTAACCCCACGCTGCTCCCCAGAAGCCCCACGATGGCAGCCCACTGCTCCTTAATGGGATGGGTTAAATGCAGAGATAAATTTCTCCAATGTGAGATCTATAAAGTTCAATTAAAAAATATTTAAAAAAAACACTTTAATACCTAAAGTGAGACACAACCGGGCTTTCTGATGTGAGCCAATGATCTCCACTAAGGTGAAATTAAACTAAGGATTGAGATCTGTACTAAGTTTAAGCAAATTAATTCAGTATTTGATTCCTCTTTCTTTGTTCAGCTTTCTGCCAGTGCTGTTTTCCACAATCGGCAGGCAGCTGAAACTAACAGGTCAGTGTTTTCCTTTTCTTTTTAGAATATTCAGAAACCTTTTAGAGTTGGAGCTCATTCTCATCCTGATTATTCAACAGAATCTGTGACCCCAAAGAACAAAGACTTAGACGGCTGCTCCCACCTCACGGCTGTCAAAGGAAGAACTGGTGTTACCTGAACCAGGAGGCCGCCCAAATGGACCAAGAGGATCCGGTTAAAACCTGGGACCATTTAATCATGCCCCTTAGCTTCCCTGGTCTTGATTTTGAGCAGATGTCGATAGAGAGAAGCCACACCGCCCCAGAAAAGACCAGTTTCCGCATCTACTACAGCCCCCCTTCGGCCCGCAGAGTCCACCTGGCTCAGCTAAAGCAAAGCCCCACTGCTGACAGGAGGTCCGTGGACACCTCCTCCCCCTGGTGCACACCTCCCACCTCCTTCTCTCAGCTCTGTCTGGGCTCCTCTGCTAACTTGAGTGATGACATGAAGGAGATGACAGCCAGTTGGAGGCAAACAGTTCACAGCATTCCCTCGGAGAAGAAAGGGAGATTAGCAAACCGCTGGGTGGATGTAGCCTGCTCAGGTACTCAGACCCATACAAGGCCACAGATGGTGAGTGTTGGACAGCAGACAGATGAAACTCAGGGGTTGATCCCAGTGAGAAACAGCCCATCCAGAATCCTGAGCCCCTCCCTGGTCTCTGCTCGCTCCCAGCACATCTCCACCTCACTAGATGGGTTAGCAGGTCGAGTCGAGAGGCCCCGGACCTCCACCTCCTCCCCCAAACTGTACCGCAGAAACTCCTCCTCTCTCTCTTCATCCCCCAGTTTGAGCCCCTCTTCATCGTCTTCCAGCTCCAGGGATCGGGGGCTGTGGAACCTGTCCCAGCAGAGCTCAAACTCACCCACATGGACTCGACAAACCAGTCCCAGATCAGGAGCAGCCCAGAACCTGAACTCCGTCACCAAGCCCCCTAATAGATCCAGTGCCAACCGGTGTGGTTTGGTGACGGAGTTCCTGCGCAGGGTGAGCGGCCGAGTGGACAAAGCCGCTCCAGTGTCAGGCCAGAAGACAAAGGGCAGCCTGAAGAACATGGAGCGAGCTCCAACCAGACCTCAGGGCGTCCCGCTGCACAGGAACGACAGCGTGACCAGGATCGTCAACCAGAGGTTCATAAAGCAGAGAGAGGAGGCGACTCGCACCCAGAGGGAGGAGAAGGGGGTCAACCTGAGCCAGAGAGTCAGAAACAGCCAGAGTACAGCCACAACAGAGGTGAGAAAAATAAGAGAAACATATGATACAACATCAGGTCAACAGGAAAATTATAACATCTGAACATATCAGAAGGTTTGCTGGTAGAAAGTGTTCCTTCTCTCTCTGTTGGGATTGAGTATCAGACCTAATAGAAAGGATATGGCCTCTGTCAGCCTCTGGAATTATTAATCCTAATTCATAAAGAAAGGATCTAGCTGCCTTTCATTCTAGGAAGCTTCATCAGGCCATCTTTCAGCAATATGGAATTTCATTTTCAGATAGTCTTTCCGTAAAAATTCAAAAAATATCCACTGGACTTGGTTTCCAAGTAGGGATGCACGATATAATCTGCCCCCTATTGGTATCGGCCTTAA